TATACTGAGAAATATTCTCTGTTACCTAAATGTTGTTGTAGATATCAAATTCTTTCTGCAAGAACTCAAAAAAAAGGTATTTCAAAACTTGGCAGGAAATATTTCAAAAATGCATGAGACAAAGTAATGATACACACTATCTGATGACCCAGTAGTTACTGGTTTCTTTATTAACTGCAGTTCACCTGAACATCAGTTATGGACAGTAATATTTAGCTGGTAGATCTGAGTCCCTGCAGTCCCAGAACTGAATCTTTTGCCCTTTTTCAGTGAGGTAGATTGTAGTTCCATGTGGTTCTTCACATTTTTACGTCTCTATGGGTTTTAGTGTCTTCCGCAGAGTTTTTGTGTTGTCGGAGCATGATGGTACGAAAATACTTCTTACACTAGTGTTAGACTTTGGCAGGATCTGCATTCATACATTTCCCCAGCTTTATCCTCTAAATCAGTAAATGCAGAAGCTAAGTAGCAGTGATTGCTGTTTATGCTATACCAGTCTCCCTCAATTGTATTTCTTCCTCTTCTGAATAGAGTATGTATTTTGTAAGGAGCTTTAATGGGCTACCATTGCATTCTTCTGCATATCTATGCTTGATGTTTTGGGTTTACCATTATGCTGGAGGTTGAAATTTAGCAGCAGAGCCAGAGGCAGATGTTCTGCTTCTGCCTATCAGTGGAGGAGAGTCTTTGTTACCTCTCCCCAACATGCACAAGCTCAATGTTGCCTCAGTAAAGCTCTTGGAACTATTTGAATTTGGGTTATTTCCTAGGAATATTGTTGGGTTATTGATGTTGTGCATTCTGAAAGAGTTTATAGTGCCTCATTCCTCTATAGCTGAGCAATAGTGGAATTCCAGTGACTTTTACTAAGATGTTAGACCTTAGAGATTCAGATTCCTTTTCAAGAATGCTAAGTGCATGTAGAATTTTACTTAGACTTTCTGGTGTAAAGTCCTACTTGTGATGATCTTTACTAACAGTCAACTGAGAGGAACATATCTGTTCCAAATTTCAGGCTTCTATATCTGAAAATCTGATGCTTGTAATTGCCTTAACAAGAATCATATCCACAAATCATATCCCGTTGAAAAAAAAAAAATAGACTTGTATATGTGGTTTTCTCAGAGATCAACCTCATAAGAAAGAAAGAGTGTGTCTTAGAGCAGACCCCAGTATACAGTTCTTTGGCAGAGAGATTTAAACTCTCGTGGTTATGACATAAGTGCATGTTTCAAAAGATGGAAAGGAACAGATGAGAACTATGAACAAATCCTGCAGAATTAATCCCTTCATTGCTTTGCCTGCTTTTTTCTTTCATACATATTAAGCACTTTTCCCACTTTGAAGTAATGCAACTCTCCCTAACTCATGCCAGTAGATACTTTACATTGGACAGCTATTGCAGAAATAACGTATATGAAATTAAGTTTCTTAAAGAACTATTACTCCAATGATTTATTTCTCATTCAGGGCTGTGTTGGTTTGGCACAGCCTGATTATTGGTAGCAGGGGGGCCACAAAGGTTGCTTCCACTGCTGGAAGCTTCCACCATGTCCAGCAGAGCCAATCCCTGATGGCTCTGAAGATGGACATGCTGCTGGCCAAAACTGGGCCAGTTAGAGATGTTGGTTATGCCTCTGTGATAACATATTTAAGAAGAAAATCAAAGCATAGATATGCAGAAGAATGCAATGGTAGCCCATTAAAGCTCCTTACAAAATACATACTCTATTCAGAGTATGTATTCTATTCATGCCCTGCCTCCCTGCGCTGTTGGTGCAAAGGAGTGAGGGGTTAGGGGGAAAAAGGAAAAAAGGGCTTCTTTTACTTCTTTTACTTCTCATTGTCCTCCTCTGACTCTTAGTAGTAAATTCACTTTGCAACTTTAAGTTGAGGCTGTTTTGTTCTTGAAGTGTTTTCTCCCAGTCCTTAGCTCAGCTCAGCTCAACTCAACTCAGTTTTTTTCTCTCCTCTGCCCAGCTGTGGCATGGGAGGTTGAGGGATCAGCTTTGGTGGTGCCTGGCATTGGACCAGTGTCAAACCACGACAAGGTCTTATATGTATTTATTATTATTACAAAGACTTTACAACATGCGCCATAGTACATTAGACAGGATACTCAAATAAGAATCTAAAATGAAAAATATTTACAAAATAATCTGAAAACATTAACACTGACATTTGCCTCTAATTGTACAGTTTACAGGTGGTATAACACAGGATCATGCATTTAATTTTCTAGTTTGATTAAAAGTAAATGCATATGCTTATTCATAGTTTAGGTGTTTCCTATTAGCTCTTTGAAGTCTTCACAGCAGTGAAGTAAATGGAATATGGAAGACTTGAGTTCCAATCTTCATTGCTTATTTAATGTTGACCGGTGGGTATAATAGGGCTATATAATTGTAAGCGCTATCTTTTTAGAATTGATTGCTTGTTCATATTAAAGTGTTACCACTATCAAAAGTCTTTAGAATTGTAAAGTCTTAATTCAAAATACTTGAGAAATGAATTAGTGAATGCTGTTCAGAAAGGATTTTAAATATCATTCAGCTGTACTAAAACTGAGGCAGATTCCAGTTTCCAAGTAATTTCTTCTTCAGTTGCTTATAACTTTTTTTGTGATCCTAGCAGCCAAGAGGGAATGCAGAGGAGATACGATCTTGCCAAATTTCTTTTGGCGGTTTTAAAAGTAATTTGGTTCAAAACGTGTTTGGAATTGCATTACTTTTTTTTTTTTTTTTTTTTTTTTTTTAAGGCATAATATCTGCACTAATACAATTTCAGAAGTGTTGAAATTACTTTCTTACTGTGTAGCAATCACTTCCAGCAGCTGGTGAGAAAAATAACCTGAAGAGTTTCTTTCCTCTCTCTTCTTTCTTTTCACAGTTGCACTGGTTAAAACCTTTTGCTAACTCAGCTGACACACTGGCATTTTCAAAGACATTGTGGGAATGTCATCCACTTGCAGAACAATGTGAATAGCTTCAGAGGCTGACCTGTTTTGTGCACAGGGGAATGTGTCACTCTTGAAACACAGCTACCTTAGGGAGGCGGCTTGGCAGGAGTTATAATGGCCAATGATGCTACAAAATTTACAATGGCAAATGAAGAGTATTATACGTGATAGAAACAGGAGGGTTATTTAGATAGCCGTAATATACTGTAGCTACTGACGTATAAGGGGCTGTGAAAGAAAGGCCCAGGTTTTTCACAAGCTGTGGCTGCTATATACCATACGTTGTATTTAAAGGAGACAGAATCATGATAAACAACGAATGGCAGCTCCCTGCAGAAGGTGAGGATGTGTGGGAGACAAGGAGACAAAAATGACCAGATAGTCTTTCTGACTTGGAGACTGGGGGATGTAAGAGGAATGAAGGAAGCTGCTCCAGACTACAGGAATGACTTGCTGCTCTTTTGGTCACCTGGGAGTACTGGTGCTAGGGAGAAGCTAAAGGCAGCCCTAAACCCTGCAGTCTAACACTGCTGTAAGCATCTTTTCTCTTACCTAGAATACCTTTGCTTTTCAAAGTAATTAATAATCAAGATCCAGAAGTAAACACTTTTGAAAAAAAATATGGTCCTAGCTGAAAGGTGGTGCATTCACAAACACAAGACTTCTGGTCTCAGCATGAATCATGAGCTTGCCTCTGTCATAGAGGAATATGACTGTGATTTCTTGGCTTGCTAAGTCCCTTCCTCTACAGTTCCCAGCAGCTATATCTTACAGTTCTGTTTTAAAAAACTCACTCTCCCAACTCAGCTTAAAAGGCTGAAAACTATCTAACTTCACTTTGCATATATTTAGGGCAATTTGCAAAACCAGAGTTTGCTGGCATTTAGTATAACCCACTCTGTGACCCTCCTTAGCAAAGTAAATGTAGTGAGATCTTAGCCTACAGTCATAATAGTAGTTTCCCTCTTCCCGGTTTCATTTGGTCTCCCAGGGAGAAGTAATAGTCTCCGGTGTGACAGGGGGAGGAGGAGATGTTCATGTTAAGGACATGCATTGAAAATAAATCTGAAACACATTTCCTTGCACATAACCCAGCCCCTTACCTTGAAATTGCCCTTTGTATTTTAAAGTGGCTGCAGAATGTCTGTGAGCAAGTCATGGGCTAATAAGACTATCAAATGGCTTCAGCTGTTCTAGAGATTCATTTCAGTAGAAGTTGCAGGAAATATAGGTTTAATTCTTTTATTCAAACTCAGTAGATGGTTTGGGACAATTAATTTCCAATTGTTTCCCAGTAGAGCAGATTTACTTGTATATTAATGAGGCACAGGTGTTAGGCCCCTGGTGCCTGCATGCCTGGGAGGCATATTTAGGTTGTTTATCTAGTCAGCCATAGGTACTGCAAGGTACTCAAGCTTGCCTTTAACAGTTTATACAGTGAGGCTTTTTAATTTTTTGATGTTTTTTTAAATTTCCTAGCACCTGTTAAAATTTTAAAACTGATCATGTAGAAAGAAGTAGGAGTGATTTCAATAGTAAATAGCACTAAATGTTAAAGAAAGTCATCTTCTATGATGCTTAACTGCCCAGCTTGACATTAAGAAGAAAAGAAGTTCATTTAAGCAAATACGTCATGTGAAGAGCTAATACAGTCAACAGTGTACTTTTCTGTTGCATATTTTTGGAATAGGTACTTCTTTGTCTACAGCTGAAACATGAATGTGCTTATATTAATATTCATTTTTCTTGTTTATTCACTGAACTGCAGTACCAACATTTTAGAGGAAATGGAATAGCCTCCATAGACATTATGAATTTCAGTAGCTGGCATAATTATAGCGATCTACATATTCATTAAATCCAAAGAAGAAATGTGTCCAAAAAAACAGCCATGCATTTAGAAGTGGTACACAACTAAATATATACATTTTAAAAAGTTGCTTTCCTCTGCTTATCCAAAATTGTGTAGTGTCATATAGTCCTTAAATCAGCTAAGGCTTTTTTGTTTTTGTTTAAGTGTTCATTCCTCTTGCTTTTGCAGTAAAGAATGGGAAGAACTATTTGTAAACAACAATTACTTGGCAACTATACGGCTGAAGGGGATTAATGGGCAGCTGAGAAGCAGCAGGTTCCGTAGTGTTTGCTGGAAGGTAAGAAGAGAAAATATTTATTTACAGTTTGTGGTTGCAATATATCAACACATTACCTGATGCGCTGGAAGATTATTGATGCAAAGAATCATGAATTTTCCAAGAGACTTCATCCCAATGTTTTCCTACTCATTTTTATAATTCATTGGACATTTGCTAACCACATCAAATTGCTTTAAAGCTGAATTGCAGGTAATAGCAAAGGAATCCAAGGAAAGTGTATCTTTGTGCTGGTGATATGTTTAGAATTGAGTTCCACACAGCCATCTCTCCTCTCAGTATCTGTGCAGGGAAGTCATGCACTGGAAATAGATAGGAAGTTAGTCTAAAAAATTACAGTTCTGTGTAATTTGGGACTGCTTTAAAATCAGTCTGATGCTTCTGCTAGCTGGTTTTTCCCAGTGAAATGAGAAAGCGAAGACCAACTCCTCTTGTAAGGACTGGATGAGGAAGGAAGCAAGGTCTTCCAAAAGCACAACAGCTCCTTGGGAGTTTTTCTGTTTTTTTTTTTTTTTTTTTTTTTTAAGTAGCAGGGGAAGGAAGAGAGAAAGGAAGCAAGGTAATACAGGACAGCCCTACAGCCCTATAAAGTCCAAACAATATTTTTGCAATGACATCAAGTCTTCTGCTGTGCACTAGCTATGATAGTAGAGAATTTTTTTTCTAGTAGAGCTACTATGTGTTAATGCTGATCATTCCAATTACTTTACTTGGAATTTCTGAACCATAATTTTTCACAAAGACCTATAGAAAGAAATTTAAAATACTCCTTATATATGAATGAAAGAGAAAGTTTGAAATTTGAAATATATGTAGCATTGAACTGCCTTAAAGTTAATGAAAGTATTTTATACAGCAAGCGCAGTGAATATATGCCACCTGCATTGTTTTATCACTTTGCTTCTTTTTAAGTCTCTAATTTAGGAGACCATAACTCAAAGCCCTGAACTAACACAAACATCAAGTCCTTTCCTGTCTACTAATTAAATCAAGGAGTGGTTTTATTTTAGAAATAAGGCAGGGTTTATTTGCTTTTCCCAATATGAATTAGGGCTCTGTTGTTAAGTTCTGAAATTTTAAATTTTTTTCTTTTAGTAATTTAGGAATATTTTTTGTTTATCAGTACATCTGTTTGTCAGTGTTACTGTTTCTTTACACTTTACAATTTGCAAATAAAAACACTGAAAGAGCAAGAAAATACTAGGGTTTTCCTTGCTTCAAATGCAATTAAATAGTATTTTGCACTGCACTTCTTTCAAAGAGACATGAAAAAACTGAGATGTAGGCATTCTCAGGGACTGTCTGCAAAACTGCCTCTCTTAGCTTTCTTGCAGAATTCTAGAGCATGTTTCATTTCTTACATGGGGTATATCCCTTGGTGCTTAGTTCCTGCTCTGCATTTGTGGTTTGTTTTAAGCACATTGCATTAGGTCATTTATGTTACATAAATAGCTTCAAATTTTGTATTTTTTTTCCCACGTCTTTCCATTTTGTTTCTGCCTTGGAAGTCACCATCAACTTTACTGTAGCTGTAACAGTTTACAAAGCTTGAGTTCATGGCTTCAGTTGACTTAAATGCTTAATTTTGTCCCATAGAACTGCTGTTGTTCCTAGCTACTTATTTATGGACTAAAAAGCACTAAAACCAGAAATATTTTATAGCTCTTTGTTTTCTCTTTCTTTCTGGGGTGGTTTATGCGGTCTGGTAAGATTTATATGAAAAGCTGTTTAAAATTGATGAAAATTAATGAATTTATTTTGTTTGCTAATAGTTATTTCTGGACGTTCTACCGCAAGACAGAAGTCAATGGATTAAAACCACTTCAGACTTAAGAACTTCTTACAGTAAGATCAAAGAAATTGTAAGTTGGTACAAAATAGGATCTGATACTTTAGCATAGATCTTGGCACTTAGAGCATAACAGGAGAGGATTTGATTTTTTTTTTTTCTGCTTTTACCTAGCACATTACAAACCCACGGAAAGCAGGACAGCAAGATCTGATAATCAATAACCCACTCTCTCAGGACGAGGGGGTAAGTTAACCAAACACACACTATTAAAATTCTCATCTTCTTCATACTGACACAAGTGAGTTCTTGCTGAAGTAGGCAAAATGGCAGGTGCTAAAATCTCCCCCTGAATGTCCAAGCTGACTTATATTAGCAATTATTCCACAGGTTCTGCTGGACAACTGGAAATGCTCATTTCCAGGCTGATATTCTGATTTTTAAGGGCTTAATTCAGGGAAGGTTGTGGTAAACAAAAAAATCAGTGCTGGACTATAATTGATATGGTTTTTTTATCACTGTATGTTTTCATTTTATGCATCAAATGGCTCTAGTTTAAGGAGTGTTCAGTGGCTCTAGTTTAAGGAGTGTTCAAACAGTCAATATGAAGTGAATGCTGTTAACAGAACAATGAAATACCCTCCTCTGGAAGATTGTTCAGTCTTGGAAAGATTTTACTGCATTTTGTTATAACTGAAAAACTTTTATTTTATAGCACATATCTTTAAGCTTTTCTATTAATTATGTTAGCATTATTACCATCAAAATTCTTTTTTATCAATTTTTTAAAATAACTTAATGCCATGAAAATAAGTTGTTTGGCCGCACTTAAGAGAATTACACCTGAAAAGACTGTCTCAGATATCTCTGGTGATATTACTCCTATTTTGTCCACAAACAGAATCCCATACGTCGTCTCTAGAGTGGTACTGTGCTCCTTATTTAATTTAGGAGGAGAGAGCTCTGCAGCTGTTACGACTGTGCACATCATCAAACTATTCTTGCATCCAGCTGGACAGAAAGTTGTGTCAAATGTAAAAGATCTAAAGCATTTCTGCCGTAGTTTGTGATTATATGGCTAGATTATACACAGTGGCTCAACCTGCTTTCTGCCTGTGGTGTCTTTCAGATATGGAAAACAAACTCAGTTAACTAACTCAGAATATGTGGCAGGGGGTTAATCTACAAAACAAAGCCACTGACCAAATGAGGCATAGGACTGAAGATCAAAGTGCCTTTGAGCCTCTGCTGTGTCTTAATGTTACACCCATTTTGTGTACTGATTTTTCCTTCCCTTTGCAATGCAGGTTTTGTTTGTTTCCTCTGTTCTGATGGCCCAGGGTGGGAGCAGAGACAGGGGAGTTCCAAAATGTGGTCTAGTTGCATGACAAGAGTTGTGAGTTAGAGAGGTACTCACTGAATGCAAGACATTATCAAAGATACTAATATTTTTGAAGTTTAGGTTTTACTTTCTCTTTTCTTTCTGTGGAGCATAAGCACCATGGCAAAGAGCTGCTTATCAAGAGGCAAGAAATTGTGGAAGTATTGTACAGACTCTGTTCTGTATTTCATTCACTGCTGCTGCTGCTATTTGAAAACTTACCCAACCTGCATGAAGGCTGCTGTAATAATTTTGCTCCATCTGTATTTTGATCAAGCTCTTATCCCTTTATAATAAGTTTCCATACTTTTCTGGAGCATACAATTAACAGCATTTTCTGACTTCTTTCTGATTAGCTTTTACAGTACATTTGTAAACAAGGCATGGAAACAAAAGAGAGAGCATGAAAATGTTCATAAATATAGCTACAGAAGAAGCTAAACCTACTTCAGATTCTTTTATTTAATATTTTTTATTTTGATAGTGTGCTTTAAATACTCTAGCTTTTCCTATCATAATATTTTTAGAATGGCCAGTTTTGGTCTTCAGAGTGGATTAGAATGATGTTGTTTTCATAATAGGTATTTGATTATCATACACTCCTTATATGATTTTGTCTCCACTAAAACAAACCAGCTTATTCCCAATTTCTTATTATGGACATTGCAGCAGCTTCCAATTAAAGTCCCTACATCCACAGAAGAAGTATAGTACAAACCAGTGATACAGACCTTTTTCCTTGCATGAACAACTGAATATTTTTCAGCTGAGTTGCTGATTCTAATAAGTTTGACTTTACTCTGCCAAACTAAATATTCTTCCTGGAACCCAAACAAGTAACTCACAAACCTGCAGCCATCAAGTGAGCGAATGCCATAAGCCTCGGACAAGGATCCAGGAATTTGCATGTTTTTATTTCTGGTCCAAACTGACTTTCTCAGATATGTTGTGCTGGTCACCAACATTCTTTATCTCTCATAAAATATTGATATATCTGTCTACCAGGAATGCTGAGGATTAATTAGTCAATATTTGTACAGTACTTTGCAGTACTTTGTAGTTTTTAAACCTTAAATATTAGTAGAAGTCTTGGTTTCATACAATTATTTTTTCTTATTCCAGAGTCTTTGGAATAAATTTTTCCAGGATAAAGAGCTTCGAGCAATGATTGAACAAGATGTGACAAGAACGTATGTAGATCTTTAAGAGAAATTTCTATATATAAATTTATATTCTGCATTTTTATGTGCTATATATTATATTGTGTTTTCTTGACTTTGGTTAGTGTAAATGTCAGGTTTGTTGAGCATGAATGTGTGGAAACATACATTAAATGTATAAAAATACAACTTACATGGAGTAAAAAATGAGACAATTTAGCTGAATGTTAAATCCCAGAGATTTATTGGTATCATTGAAGAAAAGCTCTTCTAAATTAAGATATTAGGAGGTGTACTACTTGTGAAATTTAATGTGGTTTTCTGTATGAAGCAAAGAGAACATAAGAGAAACTGAAAGGTCTTTTAACTAAATTATGATCATAATGAAAGATCGAACAGATTACTTTCCTAATTCTCAACACAATACAATCAATAATAAAAAAGCAGTTTGTAATTAGTAAGGGAAATGCCACTCATGTATAGAATTTGAGATGTTCTATTTTTATTTATCACTATTCTAGCTTTATTTGTCATATATGCCTTTTAAAATTTGTCCTGATATTACTATGATTATGTTTTCATCTTCTTGGCCTTTAGGTCATTCCTGTTTAGAAACTTGTTTGAGTTAGAACACTCAGTTCCTAAAAATATTTCTTTTCAGAGTGCAAGCATTGAGTAATGTGTAAATATAATTAAATTCAATTACTGGTTTGCTACCATGTGATATTTTACTGTATTGCAAATATTTTTCCTTATAACTTGAAAAAAGTGATGATAGTTGTAGATTCTACAAATCCCAAGCTTACACATTTTCATTTACAGGAACCAAGTCATGCAGAAGAAATCATTGCAGTCTGGTTTTTGAATATTTTACATGTCCGTCCCTAGACCCATTCTTGAATGTATTTTGCCATGAGATGTATAATTAAAATCTGAGTATACTTTCATGTGCATTCTCACAACAGATGGTATTTTTTGTTTGTTAAAGGAAACAGTTCAGGATGTTCTAAGATTAAAATATATATGTATCTAAACTATAATTGGAGAATGAAAAGTTTTATGGAGGTTATGGTGGATGTATGATTATTATTTAAATATATATTTATATACACACAAATTCCAGGCTCTCACTGGCAAATGGCAGAGTAGTATTCACTAATATCAGTAATAGTGACTAAAGAAATTTATGACATTTATGCATTTATACAAATGATATCTATTTGAAGCTATAGTATATATTGTGTCATCAGTAGCAAAATAAGTCAAGCATTGAAAAAGCAAAATTTATTAGTGGCATGAATGTATTTTATAAGCTACATGCATTTTATATGTACACTTTTTTTGTCTAATCATAAAACATAGTATGCATTTTTACATATACTTATCTATTTGTCAACTATAGTTATTTTAAGAAGGAGTAAGTTCTTCATTCTGTGGCTTTAGAATATAAAAGCCCTCTCTTTTTATTTACATTCTTTAAATAAATCTCTGGAGTTACATTTTAAAAGTTTGGAATTCATCATTAGTTTACAATGCTTTTTATTAAAGGTTAAAATAATTATTATATTCAATTTCCATAATCACTACTTTCTAGCTGCTGATTCTTATCTAATGAATGTTTTTATATTCTTTGTCATCTAGTTCAGTCCTCCATCATCCCACAACATCAAGTGTATAATGCTGTAGAGAGTGATGCTAACTACTCTCAGAGTAGCAAACCAGAGTTCCAGCTATCAAAGCAGTAAAGGAATTACTCTATAATGTTTTTATTAGAATTCCCTAAAGTGTAGTAACAATAAACAGGAAAAATGGCTAGACTTAGGGTCCTAAAATTGGTGTTTGTTTAAATTGGTTTAAACTTCAGGATTTTGCTACCTAAAGACAAACTGGAATAAAGTTCATTCATGTGTGTGTTTGTTCCTATGCATTTTGAGAATCCTTATCTCACCTAATTATTGGGTCTGGGATGCCTAGATACTCACAGCCGGGTTAATCATGCTTTAGAGTCTGTGTACCTGTAGAACTCTAGGACACAAGTCATCTCTTCCTAAATCCTAAATATAGTTTTTGTCTGATGAATCCCATTGTGGAGATGTACAGTTTCTTCAGTAATTATAAAAAGCTTCTAGCTCACCAGTACCTATCAAAGCTTTAGTTTCCTAAAGTCAGGTGATAGAAATCCAGTCCATAATGTCTACATAAAAATAACAGCTTCCAATACTTGCAGGTAGGAAAGGATATTGTTAAGTTAGTCCCAACTCATTAGTGATCAATGTTTTTGAAATTTTTTTAAAATATTCTGCAGGAATAGAAATCAACAGATTGGCCAATGCAAAAGCAAGTAATGCAAATTAAACTTGCTGGCATTTCAGTGTACATCTAGGGTTGTAAATGGCTAGATTTCATTGCCCTCATTCTCTCCAGTATTTCAAGAAACTAAAATGCCTAGGCGACATTCCCCATAGACAGATCAAGTCGATATCTTCTCTTTTGTAGTAGTATTTTTATATACTGGTCTACTTAGTTTCTGCTTCAGGAGTAACAGACACAGTTTAGGATGATGGAAGGTGTGTGAAAATGAGTAGGGTCAGTGCTGGGGTTCCAAACACTCCATCCCCCAAATAAGAAAAAAAAAAAATTAAAAGTTATCAACATAAAAACAGTAGTGGAAAAGCCACTGGAGAGCTACATCTTTCCTAAGTATGTGGAAGAGATGGTAAGAAAAAGCAATACATTGATTATGATCCCCATTTCTGTCTGCCGCCAAATTTTTTTTGTGCATCCATTTAGTTGTTTGACAGCTTGGTTGTTCAAATTTCTGTGTCAAATTCTGGCTGCCTCTGGTGCAGGTGCCCCTAAATCACCTAAAGGAGTATTTTAAAAAGCTATAGCTGAGTCAGGCTGGTCTTCAGTTTTAGAAAGCAGGGACCTGAATGCACCATTGTTTAATTGTAAAGTTGTGGTAAAACAGTCTAGGAAAATTCCCATGTCCTTATGCAGGCTTTCTCAGAGATGTAATTAAATGTAATAGTCTCATGTTCATGAAAAGTATTCTTACCTTGCTGATTTGAGGATGCTGTATTTCTTAAAACAGAGCTTTAATCATAAAATGACATTTTCCATAAAAATTCACCCTGAACTGATAGTTCCCTTATGATCTCTTCTATTTACATTTACTATAATTAATACCTCAGCCAGCTTATTTCTGAGTTTGTTATTATCCTTTCTGTCACAATCTCTGGTATTACTAGATCCTCACAGATTTCTCTGTGTATTTTTGAGTTTTCTTTGTTAGTCTTCTCTTCCTAAATTTCACAGGGCAGGCCTGAATAACAGTCCTTCAGAAATAATCTCTTCAAACCCCTAAATTATGTCGATTGCCATCTGCTGTAATGCACTTTTGGTCTCAGCTGTGTCCTTCCTTTACAGTAATGTGATTAGTACAAGTGCATACAACTTTCCAAATGTTGGTCTACCATTACCTCCACCAGGTGCCAGGAAAACATTACACCTCTCGTCCCAGTGCCTCTCTCAGGACTTCAGCATCACAGTGTTTAAGCCACAGTGTCTTCTCTGCCTTGGCTCTTGATTCAGCTCCTTCATCCAAGGACTTCAAAGCACTTTCCTAGCCTTAATTAGTTCTGTTTCTGTGCTTGCCTGTCATCACCTCTGTGAGATGACCACAGTGATTAGCAATGTTAATAGTCTTATCTGAAGTAATTTGTTCTAATTTCCTATATTGTTTCTCTGTGACAGGCTTTACAATAGCCTTAAATGCATCTTGTCTAAAGTATAACAGCGTGGCTCAGACCTGTGAATCTTGTTTGAAGAAATCTTATTTCAAACCATGTAATTTAATTCTAATATTCTATATTTCAAACCTTTATTTCAGTGCTCTTGCCTGAGGCCTACCATTTTTGTCTTTTTAAAGTATTCTTCTGTTTTTCTTTGTCCAACTCTACCATTTCCTTTCTTTTTAGTGTTCTACCTTTTCAGATTTTACTTTTTATTGTTCTGTATTGGGGCATTTGCTTTATGAAATATGCTTTGCCATCTAAGTTACTTCTTCAGTAGCAATGAAAACACCTTTGTTTGTGCACTTATTCTGATTTTAAGTAGGTCCTGTGTAACTACTCTATTTCCTACTTCCAACAGTCAAGGAGCAGGATGCACAGGTGAGAGTGGCTTCAGAGTAGTTAAAGACTGGAAATATTTACATTTTCCAGTATTGCATGTAACAGGATTTTCCCAGAAGCCTATTCTCCTTATTCTCACACATGTTCCACTTCATTCTTGTTCACTTAGGATATTTGCCCAGACAGATTATTTTATAACTGTAAAGTTTATTTGTAATAGCTGTTAAAGACAGTGTGATATCTAATTGTGTTGTATTGCAACAGATACCAGTAAGAGATACTCAATTTTAGGATACCGGTTTCGTGTCAATTATGAGATATTTAAATAAACTTGTCATTAAAAGATAAAATTTTTGCAAATATTAAAGAAATACTGAACCTTGTGTATGCCTGTCATCTGACATACTCTAATCCATTCTTCCATTTCTTCCATTGTATTTCATTCTTGCAGATGTCTAGCTTTAATGAGATTAAAAGGGATTAGTTATTTAAATATAACTGTGATATCATCATACCTGTGTAGCTAACTGGTGTATATTAAAGAACATGGTTCATCATTTTGGTTGCAAAACAAATGTAGCAAGCTGTTAGAAGTGTTTAACTCTAGCAGCGCAGAGCAGTGGGAAAGCTGACAGGGGAGATGCTCTTACCTAAAACCTCTTTCAGAAGACCAGCAACTTCTGTGCACTCTATTGTTTACTTTTGCTGTATTGCTTCATTTTCAGCTTTCCTGAAATGCAGTATTTCCAGCAAGAGAATGTAAGGAAAATTCTTACAGATGTTCTGTTCTGCTACGCCAGAGAAAATGAGCAGTTGCTTTATAAACAGGTAATGAAAATACTGTACAGGTGGCATTCATTGACTCAACATTTTCTATATGGTTTGACAATAATGTAGCTCTGTTGTATCTGAAGTTGTATCATAATGCTGAAGTAATCAAAGAGCTGCTTGTCAGCTGGTTGGTAAGTAAGCTCATTGAATAACATATGCTTTCTCCTCATAACACAGTACCTTAAGTTGTTTTCTTTAAGGTTGCTAAGTTTTCTTACTTTAAATTTCTTTATAAACATCTTTTTTTTGTCATTGGTTAAGAAAGAAAAAACAAAGAAAGGCTTTCTCTGCTTAGGTAAAGAAAGTACACAGCAGGATTTAATATGGTACTGAATAAACAAAAAGCATAGTGACTTCTGAAATTTAGACAAAGTTTACTATTTTAAGTTTTATGTAATACTTAAGTTCTTCCCTAAGGTGCTAAAGCCATGCAGTATGTTAGCAAAAAGATCTTTATCTAACCTTGTAGCATCCAAGTACAGTGCAACTGACAAAGTCCTCTTGAGTGAAGGATAAGTAACTTTTACAGAGTTACTTGAAGGAGAGTCTGCTCAAACCATTTTTGATAAAATGGTAAAGAAAGCCTAAGTTGCACTAAATCTGCATCCACAGAGGTAGTAAGTTAATTAATTCAGCATTTGTTCTGAAGGTTTTGAAGTAACTATAAACACGATATTGTGTTCATATAGCAAGACCAATATTCAGAGTATCAACCGAAACATATTTGTATTTGTTTCTTCACACAATTATCTGTGGGCTGAGTAGAGACTGACAAACCGAGGGATACTCTGTGTGCATGGACAAAGGATAAACTGTAGAGGAGCCAACTTTAGGTAGATAGAAAATTTGTCATGGCAGAAATACAGAGATTCAGTAAATGTGAAAATTTTTATGAAGCAATCTCTGCTTTCAGGCATGGTCGGTGACCACCCTGTCCTCAAGCCAGGGAATTGGGTTGTTTCATGGAAACAAAGGGTATATGAGTTGAAGGAACACTTACTTCTGAAGAATTTCTTAGAGATTATATAAAAAATTGACTATATAGTTATCACACATATGAAACATCTATCAACTGGTTATTTCTCATGTTTGACAGACAGTGAGCAAGGAATAGTCTTGCATAAGAACAATAAAAATGAGATCTCGGAGCTGTGTTTTGAAGGGTGCTGCTAAAAAAATACTTGGCAGTATTCAGCCTCCTCTTTCTAGTGAATGTAGGCCAGAGTACTGATGATGGGGAAATGGAAGAACACATTCCAGCTAATTTAGTCTATCATTTATTGAACAAGAAGTATTATTTTACTCTTTGATATGACTTAAAAGGACTTAATTACCCTCTGCTCATATTTAAAATCCTCTTGATTCCTTTGCAAGAAATAATACCTTTCTATATAGGGATGGAATATTTAGCCAGATCAAATTTAAAAAAAAAAAAAAAAGCACTGCGCTTCATCACAAGCTGTTAAAGCTATTATTTTCTACTAGGTGACACCCCGTTTAACATAGACCATATTGTTAATAGTTATGGGATTTTATTGAATTAATGAGACTGTTATCATGTAGTAGAATGTCTTGCTGAGTTAATTGAAACTGCAGAGATTATATAAATGGTATTAATGAACTTTGACTGCCTGATGCCTCAGCTTTAATAAAGACTGCTTGGTGGGCTAAATGAACATAGGCAGATAAAAGAACAGGTTCAATTTTGTGAGCCTACAGGCTGTTGACGAAGAAAACTTCTTTACCTCTGTTTTCAACTAGTGTGAATCAGTAGTGTGGTAGTTCCAGGAAGGGATTGCTACAGGATGAAGAGGAGAGGAAGTGCAGAAAATTAAATTAATTTGGATCATGAAAAACTGTTGTTTTAACCTCTCAAAGCGTGTTCAGTATATCACCCAAGTCTTGCAGTGCTGTGCCATATCCACAAAATTGTAAATGATTGTGGTTTTCCTCTCATGTTGTGGACATGTGTTACTTTTATTAGGAGCTATGCTTTTTTCTTACCTAATTTTAAAAGGGTGGGTTTGTTTCGTTGGATTTCTTAAAAAATAATGCACCATTTAGCTTGTTAGTCAGATCCTCTTCTTTTGTCCCTGTGCTCCTCTCTTGCTAGATAATATTTTTTTCATGACCATCATTACCCTTCTCTGAATTAGCTGAAAAGAAATGGTTTATGGTCAACAGGATGTTTTTTCCTTCTTTTATCAAATATCAAATAGTAGTCAGTCTCCCTGATGTAGTATTTTTACCAGACTCATGCCCCACTTCCCATAATAATAATAATAATTTCCACCACAGCAAAACCTAGCATATTTTTGAGAAAATAATGAAGGTTTCCATTAATTCATCAGTAGCAGATCATCTCCAAGTTGTTGTCTCCACAGTCACCTGAATACAATAGATTAAGGAGCTTGTCTTCATATGCAATTTCCACCATGGGGACTGGTCCTGTTGTCATCTATGAGAATTCCTCTTTCTTATTCGTATAACTGCATACAAAAGATACAATTGCCATTAGAATGATAAAACTTGGCCAATGAATGAAGACTGATAATTTTGTCTGTCAGCATATGTCCCTACCCAATGTTATCTTCCAAAATATTTCTAAAGAGTTGTAGTTTCTTGACAATTTGCATGCTTACAATATTCTATTGAAACTATTACATAGCATCAGCATTACAAGAAGCTATCAATAATGTTTGTTTTATATGCATATATGAATGCAAGTTTTCTTTGTTGCAGGGTTTCTGGGTTTTTTGGCCAGCATGAAGGAACATCTTATTTGATGAGAAAAAATATATTTGTATGCCTAGTCTAATGGATTAGAACGTTGTGGTACTGTTTTTAAAAGGCAGAATCTTCCCTGGGATCACTGAATTTTTAAATAGCAGCTGTAAACATAAAATCTAAAGAGAATAGTGTATTGTACTTAAGAAAATGTAAAAGCTACCCTTAGAGGTCTTCAGTACGACTGGTGACAAAATTCTGGTGCTAGTTACACTGAAAGGAAATAGTGAAAATTAAGCTAAATCACTAGGCTAACTATTGTTTGTTATTGTCCATAGAGAAGTCAATATAATTTTGAAATACATTGATTCACTTGTCATTGTAAGAATGCTATAATTCTGGTTTTCTTTCTAAGCCATAGACTGTATTTTGAAATCAATATTTTGTTGTAGCTGGGAAGTGTCATAAAATTATCTGAGCTCTGTCAACTTATTTATTAACACTAAAGAGTTTTAGTAAACTGTAGCATTGAAAAAATATGTGTATGCATATTATACTGGTAGCTTTTCTTGCCAAGCTAAAAATCTCTAAACATTTGAAGTACTCTTCTAACTGAAAGATCAGAGGTATCTTTTTGAAATCCTGATATTTCATCATCTGTTTGTTTTGGTTTTGTTATATGTGGGCAGCCACATTATGATTCTATTTTATTATGGAGTTGATATATTATTATGTTAGAAGAATGTGTGATGTGCTTTTATCTTTTATAACTAATTCTTATTTTATGTCCTCTTTCTTTTTCTTCTGCTTATATGTTTACAGCTTAGGTGGTAGTTTTTTTTGATAGTCAAGTTTTTTGGCATTTCCATTTTTCCTATTTCATGTTTAGAATATCAGGGCGAATAAAAGATTAGATGTGGAACTGTTAATTAAGAAAGGGCTGTATATGTGAAAGTACAACCCTGGTTACTAAAATCTTTTTGCCACTTATATATTGTCTTATCCTGGACCTTTCTCCTTTAATATGACCATAATATTTTAAGAAATCTAAACTTGGCAATTTGTAATCTAACCCATTTGTGATGTTTTACATCAGTTTTTGAAATCAAATGGCTATATTTGGTTTATTTTGTTCTTCCTAACTGAATTTCTCTTTAGGTTTCATTTTTTTAAAGTAGTTCAGAAATAGGAAGGGAAAGAAAACATCCAAACTTCAGCCCTGCCATTGAGGCTCTAATAGTCATCTCAGTCCTGAAAAATTTAAAATTTAATTTCCTAGTATTTCTGTTCATTGGCATACAGAGATATCATCAAAACTATTGTCAAAATTGTCAAAAACTACGCATGCAAGCATACTCAAAAAGGTAATGATGTAGAGAAGGTTTCCACATCTACACCTCAGGTCCGTTGGGACCACATAAGGAAATCCCCATTACCTCCAAGGGATGTAATACAAGTTCAAGGGTTTAGGTAGTTAATGGATTTGTTGAGGTACATATGAAGCTGATAATCTAACTTACTAGTGTTGAGCACTTCTGAGGTGCTGTATGGAATATCAGCTGATACACCAGCAAAGCAGCAGGTAGCTTGCAAGCATGTAACACTTCCAGTGTTCGTGTCTGTCCATCACTGAGGGGGCTGGAAAAGCAAGTGCAGAGGCTTCCTGGCTTGGAGCTGCACCCATTAAAAGTAGAACAGTTCAGGAAACCCATCAGCTGTCATCTGACTCCTGACAGCTACCTGAAATGTTGATGTGCTTGATGGACCAGCACCATTGCTCCTTCTGCAGCAGGATGGATGAGATGCTCTTCCTGGAAATCCTGTCTGCCCAGAGCACTCTCCTGAGTTGGGATTGAGGCTCCATTTGATGAAATAGTTGCACCCTTGGACTGGAGCACTCCTGGCAGCAGGTTCTTCTTCCTTTAGCTGGGCAAGGACTCCATCCAGAGCTAGGCCCAGCAGGGGTAGCCTGAGCATTTGTCATCAAGCCCCTGCTGTAACTGGTGGTTTTGGACAGAGGTCAGGAATTCCCTCCCCTTAGAGTGATCCATGTGTCCAGAGGCAGACAGAGAGATCTTATCCTTCATCCCACATCGCTTTCATCACCAAAGGGCTCCCCTCCCTTCTTTTGTACAGCTGACATCCGCTAGGCTTTCGTAGCTCCTACCTGCTGTCCTAGTCCCAACACTGGGATCCCAACCCTCCTGGGTGGCCCAGGAGGGGTCCACCTCATGTCCAGAAGCTGGCATGCTTCTAATGCCAGCCCAAGTCCTCAACTGCCCACCCATGTTTTTCATTCTGATTCCTGTCTATTCCTATGTTCCTAATATAGATTGCATATGTAAGTAGTACTCTGCAGTAAAACAGTACCACGTCTTCTATGCATTGTGTTTAATGAGTTTATTTTGAATATTGACATAAAAACTTATGAGAAACTGAAAGAGAGCTGAAAAAACTCAAAACCTCATTTTAATTCTCATGTCTTTAGAAATTAAAGTTTCATTTTCTTTCCCAAATAACTACCCTTGTCTCCTTTGGAGCCTACTGTTACACTTTTGTAACAGTAGAAAAACAGTACAAAACCATAATCTCTATAGTTTTGGAACATTATAAAATACAAAATAATTTAACTTTTTGTATTTTTTCCCTATTGCAGATCTCTGTACTGTAGATCATTATTATAATTATCATAAATAACATCATATTTATGAACACAGATCTTGAAGTAAGCTGCCAGGTGCAGGGCTGCCTACCATTGCCAATTTGTTGTGTGTTGTGTTAGAAGAAGGGAGACTAACTTGTTTCTGTATATTATAGAAGAATAAACACTTGGATTTAATCAGAATTTAAAATAAAAGCCATTGATTATGGAACCGTTCTGTTAACCGTGTGAATGAATGTTCATGTTTTTAGTTAGTCTGCACCTAATATTGCTGTCTGCCTTATGCTGTGCATTACTAACTATTATATGACTGGAAAATCTAAATATACTTTTGCTTTTCCTTTATGTTTAGGGCATGCATGAACTTCTAGCTCCCATTGTCTTTATCCTACATTGTGACCACCAGGCTTTTTCGCATGCCAGTGAAGCTGCACAGCCAAGGTAAGCATTGTGTTCTACTTGTATAAAAATCATCTTTCTTTAAAAAATAAGTTGGCTGAACTATAGCTTATAAATAAGTGCTCCATAATTCTTTGTCTATAATTCATAAATTAATATCAGAAATCATTGCATCTTTGTGCTTTGATGGGAATGTCCTTATTTCATCTTTCCTACTACAGCTTCTGAGATTTAGACATCGACCCCTTCACAGACATTGTCTGATGAAAGAATGGGGAGACAAGAGCTCTAAGGAAAACCTTAATCTCAAAGCTTACATACTTGCCTGTGGTTCTACCTCATCCTTATTGCCAGAAGTGGTTTTGTTTTTGCCGCTGCAGAGAGTAGACAGATTAGTGAGCTCCACTCTTGGAGCAGACATCTTACCACCAACTCTCTTTCCTCAAATCTTAAAAGGGGAAATAATCATTGAAGACAATTGTTGGGATTTATATTTTTTTCATCACCTGCAGTGTTGTAGTTGTGATATCCAACTATTCTTTGACTTGGTAGTGACGTTATGTTTACCCATCAATCCTCCATTTCATTCAAAAGTGTGTATGTGTGTATGCATGCAGTCATATTCACATATATAAGATATTGCATCATATGGTTGTCTGCTTTTATTCTTGCCCCATATGTAAGGGGTTTGTTTTTATTAAAAAATAAAAAAGCAAAAAGAAGCTGGTTTCATTCTCGTGATATTTAGGACATTTCATTTGGTTTTTTGCACACTGGAGTCCAGCAGTGAAAAAAAACTAATTTAATTATGTGTGCAATATAATATTGTAAGTACCCTGCCAAGTGACTGCCCAAAGGGAGTTAAGCATTAAGATGATTATTTACAAGTGTGTGTTTTTATTCAATGTCTGTCCTAAAATTACCTAAAAGATGCTCTTCAGTGCTAAGCAACTTAAAATAACCATGTGTTATGTACAGCATTCTGTTCCATCCCCACTGAAAAAGTAGAGCTAAGCAGCAAAGTAGATGGAAAAGAGGTGCTGTCACTGATTAATTGCTGTTAAAGTACAATAAAAATACAGGCTATTAAAACAAAATAAATTAATGTTTTGATACTGCATATTTGACCAGTAACCTTTTTTTTTTTGTTTGGGATAAACAGTGATAGATTGTGCAGCAATCAATTATTCTAGATCAAGCATATTCAAATAATACATTGTGACATTCAGTAATTTGTTATTTGGAATAATTAGATGGTTACTTCATTGTAGTGCAGACAAGGCAGCTAATTTGTTTTTGATCTTTATAAAAAGGAAAGACTTCATTTGTTCAATGGAGTTGCTCTTTTTAATTAAAAAGGCTAGTTTTCTCATTTGCACTTTATATGAAAGTTGGCTTATAAATACATAATAGTACATGCAGAACACTGACCAAAAATAAACATTCACATTCGGATTGTTCACTGTTGCCTTTTTCAGTGAGGAAATGAAAGTTCTTTTGAATCCTGAATATCTGGAACATGATGCCTAGTAAGTTTCAACAAGTTTCTTTACATTTAATTCACTCTTATTTGTAATTGACACCTTTATTTAACACCAAGTTTCTGGGTTGTTCCCTTTCAGTGCAATGTTCACACGTCTGATGAAAACAGCAGAACATTGGTTTTCTACTTTTGAACATGACAGTCAGAAGGTAAATATTGCTTTAAACTGTACATACTGTGCTTTTAAGCAAATATGATTTTAATATGATTGATGTTATTTAAAGCTTACTAGACATCTCTTAACTTGGTTAAAGCAGTCTCAAACAAGTTTACAGTCTTTAAAGGTTCTTCAGAATTTGGTCATAAGCACTTGTGGAGTGACTTCAGTCGAGAGTTCCTGTCCGTTGAAAGATCACTTGGTAATCAAAAGCCAAGTGTACAAGCACAGATTTTTCTGTATAGGAGTGATGTCCTTGCATAGCATTTGAAAGAGTGCCTGTCATAGGCACTTCTGTGTGCTAAAAACCTGTGCAAATGTTATGTTAAATGCCTATAGGTAAAGTATTAAGGCGTGAATTATTTTCAGCTGTTTACAAACAATTTGCTTTGAAACCAAAACTTTAACCATAGGCTGTCTGTCAGTGTTCAGGATATGTCTTTCTGTGGCATAATCACTCCATTTCCTTCATTGTTTTTCTTAACCGTAGGATATTCGAACAGAGGAAATGTTTGTGCCTTCAGATCTCTGGTGTATCTGTATGGACACCACTTTAGTGTCTATAGTAGGTTGCTGCTTTCATAAAAAAGCTTTTGCAGAGTTCTGAGTTTAGTTCCACAGAGCTCTCCTTTGCAAGGACCTTCTAGAGACTATTTAGTCCTTGCCTGATTTTTTTCATGCGTGGCAGGAAGGACAATTCCCTCAGTCAGTTGCTCAAGATTTCCTTTGATGACTTCTTTTCTTGTCTCTTTCCATCTTTATGTTTCTCTTTTTTTTTTTTGTTTTTTTTTTTTATTCTGGAAAGTTATTTGTGTGATGGAGCGTATGTGTGGAGGTTCTAGCAAAATATTATTAACAGCATTATGGGTATTGCCAAGACTTTCAGTGTATTATATCCTAAAAGAGTTGGCCTCCCAACTTAGTTTGATTTTGGTTCACTTCACTATTTTTCACATGGAACATGGGGAGAATATCGAGAGTTAACAAAAACTTCATGAGAATTCAGTTGGTTATGTATGTCCATATGTGTGCGCCTAAACCTATAGTTGCAAACTGTAATTAGGGAGTACTAGTTTGAATGGTGGTTTTGTCAGTCTAATGAAGAAAAAGTTGTTCACCAAAGACTCATTTAAAACCATCTATTTCCTTTAAATATTTCATATTATTGTATATTTTATCAGATACGGAGCACTGGTGTCTTAGCCTAAACTATCTACAGTTATAAATTATTTGGATTTTGATATCATTTCAGTAGCTAGGGATAAAGCATATGAGATACAAATTTTATGAGGTTACTACATAGGCACTCTTTTTTCAATAACAAGGCTGTCAGATATGTTTCTCTGAGTGTAAATTTTCAAAATTCAGTGTATTCAAATATTTTTGTTCCAATTTCTGTGACAGGTGGTAAAGGCTGAGGTTGAGTTTCATTCCAGGAAACAGCTACGTCTGCTTACAGATTTGCAGTGCTTGGGTAGAAGGTGAAAGTTTACATTGCCCTTTCCAGTCCTTTCATGGCATAAAAAATTAACAGTGCAAAGTGAATGGATTAATATCTAGTTGTTTGTTCTTCTTCTTTGCAAACATGTATAATCTTTAATAATCCTTTCTTGTACATATGCCTTTTACAATCATGACTTTGAGGGTTAGCTACATAGTAAAGTGTGAATCTTCACAAAGGAAGCAATGAAAGCGTGTGCTTTGAGAGACATGTTACATTTTACAGCCTCTAACAGTTGTTTCCATTACTCCCAATTGCCATTAGAGGAGCTTCTCCAGCTACTTCATTCCCTAGTGGTTAATGAGAGAAATCTGTCCTCAGTTTATACTTGTACTATGTCCTAGCCTCTCTTTACTGCTGTAGCATTTGTTTCCTAAATGCGTGAATATATAAATTGTATTAGTATCGACCACCAGCCATTCCAGTTCGTGTTGTGGTAAGTAATGTTTTGTGACAGGGCTTGGTGACTCTGTTCCTAGTACTTAGCTAAAGTTTTCAGCTGCATATCTGGTGCTTTCCTATCAACAATACAGCACATTCTGAGCCATCCCTCATTTTTTCTTTTTATTGTGAACCACATTCTTTTAGTATTGATCATTCATATTTCATGCTAGTAATAGATGACTAAGCACATGCACTCAAATCTTTTTGCAAGACCTGAATTCTCACAGAAAGAAAATGGATGTTTTCTCTCGCATGGCAGATTATTATGTAGTGAGTATGAGCAGGAGCACAGTATTGTGTTGTCCACTTGGCTTTAGGCACAGGCACTGTGAGTCATTTCTAGTTAAACATTTTGGCTTGGTTTTATTAATTTATCTGAGCATCTTTCTGTTTGGGCTGTTTGTTTCACACCAGCTATGTGATTTTTGGAGCAATTTCAACTGACTAGAGGTATTGTCATTTTCTCAACCAAATTGCATGAGAGGAGAAAACAGACATGACTTTGTTGCACTCTAGTCTTCCACCGAGCTTCTTGGTGGCGTACACGGAATCAGGAGGCATGGACAGGGAAGGCTGAGTTATTGGCTGCAGCTGCTTCCTCACAGATTCTGTCATTCCTTGAAGATTTCTGTTAATAGGGTTAATTTCTGAGATGCTGATAAACTGCATTTTGATGGATACCATTTACTTATCTTGTGCTTTTAGCAATGGCAAGCCAGCTTATAGTATTGGATGCACTTAGCCATGTTTGATAGTCAGTCAGTCTGACAGTCAGCAATGTGTCAGTGCTGCATTATGCCAAGGTGCACAAATGCTGTAAGTGACAAATAACTCCAATTTTGGCACAGTGGAAGCTTGCATTAGTTTTTGATATTCACAATCTTTCGTCACTTGAGCCAGGGTTTTATAATCTGTGTTGTAATTTTGTAAAGATGGCTTGAAACCCACAGACAGCTAATGGTGTAAAGACTAAACTGAGTAATAGCTAGTCTTTTCATATTACAAGTTCAAATAAGCAGAGGGATTCTGATGTTGAGCTTTCCACATAAGGTTTTATTCCTATAATAAAGAGAAGCTTAAAAGCACAGGTCTTCAGAGTCATCATAGTTCTGAATGCATGAAGTGGTGAAGCTGAAGTTAAAGTCAGTTTGAATAAACCACAATAATTTTCATACCCCAGATGTGTGCCAAATGTGTGCACAGTCTACCAATACATAGAGTTACAGACTTTTATGACTGTTTTCACAGATAAAGCCATATGTTTATGAAAAAAAAATTAATATAGACTGACATTTAACATTAAGGTAGTATTAATATATCAGGCTTTAAGAGTGTTTTTCTTTGTAGAAGATTAATGGGTACCGGTTTTCAATATTTTGCATTCTTGCATATGACCAAGAAAATAGTGAAATAGATCTGAAATTATAGGAAATAGCAATACAATGAAGAACTAAAATTCATGGTACAAAGAGTACCACCCAGCTTGGTAGAATTTAGAAAGAATAAAGAATTTACTAGAATAATTTTAAAAATAAGGTAGGAGAAATATCCTTTTTCCATGTACCTGCAGCTGTGAAGAACTTTGGCATTTAACTAAGTGACAGCATTGCTTATTGGCCTCTAAAACACTAAATGTTTTATTTTAAATTTCTATTTTTTAGAATAGCAGAGATTTTGCATAAATACATGCCATGTCAGTGAGCTTTATTTGAGTCTGAGGGAGCTTTTGTCAAGTGATTTGCTGGAGTATCTTAAATGGATATGTCTTGATACCACAATAGCATGGTTAAACTACCACAATCTAATAGAACAGATCAGTCCCTTCGCTGCAACTGCCATAGCAAAGCAACAATTTTAAGATTTTAAGATACAATTTATAATCAATCAGGTCCTTAAATAGAAACATATTACCTGAAATCACTCCTGAACATCCTAACATATTTTCTGCAGTACAGAAATCAAATAATTAAGAAAAGGTACTTCAAGCAAACAAGATCAACACAAAAATAGACTTTTTGGTAGACATTATTAAATTTTCAATGCCCATTTTTATGTTAAACCATGTTGTAAGTGATTTTGAAATAACCACAGGAGATGACACTGGGAATAGCTAACACAACAAAAACAAACTTTGTTATAGAATGTTAAAAATAATGCTCTTTTCATAATATTGAAACAAGTGAATTTGTATCTAAACAATGTAAAGTGCAGTGAAGCCTCCTGAAATTATTAACCCTTTGAGCTGGATAATGATTCTCTATTAATATAGTGAGCAAAAGTGTAGAAAAAGGCCATTGTTTTTCAAAGTGAAACTTTTGGGTTATAGGTCATGGTGACAGATTGTAGCAAAGTCATTGCAAAATTCTTCTCTTCTTACTGTTTCAATTTTCCCTGTTTGTAACCTTGACATTGTTCCTAACAGTTTAATTCTCTCTTTTCCTGCCCCCCATCTTTCTCTTGATAGGTTTGACTTGTCCTTTTTTATTTTCGGTTCTCCTTTTTACATGTTTCCTATTCAGTGCAGTTCATTACTTGCTGCATTTCTTTCTGGCATTCTGTCTTTTTTTCAATAATACTTCACCCTTTTGAAAGAAGAATTAATTTAAAGCCATTCATGTTCAAGGATGCTAATACTCCACTGGTTTTCACTTGATGTGTGTTGTGCAGTAGATCATGGCATAGTTTGCACAGCCCTCAGGTCCAAACAACTGCTGTCTCATTGTTCTATTTCTTTTTTCCTTTAAAAGTTTCTGATGCTTTATCAAAGCTGTGTAGGTTTTAAGGTAAAGCCACCGGATTTTTTGTGCAAGGGAAGCCTGTTTAGAAAGGATTGTTTGAAAATAAGTTATTTCCTATTTGGTATGCAATTTATTGTCCTCTGAGGGCATATATTCTCTACTGAGTTACCATTCATCTGCTTTATTCTGGACTGACTCAGACTGCTGATATTAAAGCTAAAATAAAGCTGTCAACACTTTGTCAGAGCATGAAAAGTAAAGCATGCACATAAAAATTGATGTGCAGAATGGCAGGCACTCCTTGGCACTCCTGGGAAGGGGAATCCCACAATACCTTCTGCAGAAGTGGATGCTTGAGATTCCTCTTTTGCTGTAAAAGAAATGAGTTATTACTATGTTTATTTGGAAACCAATGTTTACAACAAATGAAATCTCCTGCACAAAATTCCTTTAGATAGTAAGACTTCATGGGTTTTTCTTTTTTTCACTCTGTTATCTCTGTCTGCAGGAGAAAGATGTCATGATAACACCTATGCCCTTTGCAAGGCCGCAGGACTTGGGGCCATCTATTGCTATTGTAGCAAAAGTAAATCAAATTCAGGATCATCTGCTGAAGAAACATGATATTGAGCTGTACATGCATCTGAACCGACTGGAAATTGCTCCACAGATTTATGGACTGTAAGTGTTTGCAAATCATTATTTAATATAATTCCTTGGGGGTTTTGTTTCACTATATTAGGAATTTTTCCCCTTAAATGGGGATTAGAGGAATAGGACTAAAAAGAAGTACTTATCTCTTAGAACTTATTTGTTTTGCAGCATTACAGTAAATGCCACCCTACTGCTGCAGTTGTGACACTGGCATTTCCAGTGCCAATAAAGTCCATTCAGCTACATGTTAGAGACCCTGATGAAGACTCCATACTCTCTGCATTAAGTAGAATCTGCACATGGGATAATAGGACATAAAAAACTATTAACATTGAGTGGTTTATTTACTTAATTTTATCACCAGTTTAGCATCAGTGAACTTTTCCCTGTTGTGTTATGGGGTTTTGGATGCTGGTAATGCAGGGGGAGTAGCATGTTAAAAGTAAAGGCAGAGGTATAATACATTGTCTGTGTACAGAGTCAGCCCAGAAGCTTTTCCATGAAGCTGCTTCATATCCAGTCAGCTGGTTGTGTATTGTATACCCCCATTCCAGGGGGGCTTATTGGGCCAGGTGTAACTTTGGATGTGGCCTTATCCACGTGTTTGTGCAGCACTGAATCCAAACTATTTACAGCTGCTGTAGTCAGTCTGGCTCAACACAGAGTGTGCGATTTTGTGAACCATGAGTAATGGTGAAATGACCTTGGTTTTGAAGAATAATCTTGCCTTCATTGTCTGGAATTCTAGACATTTGATTAATTTTGATTATTCCTTAAGGAGTTGGCAAGCCATATGTGCCGTTGCAGGGACAGCAAAAATGACCCTTTTTTTTTTTTTCCTTTTTTTGCAGTGATTTAAAGATTGATTTTGCCTTAAATGAAAAAAAAAAAAATTATAGGTGTGAATTTCCAAATGCAATTGTGTTGTAACAACTCAATAGACAATAGAGAAAGGGAAGGAAAAGGTGACTGTAAATGTCAGGCCATAACTGCAATACTTAGCACTAAAGTCTAATTTGATGTTACTATGAAAAGTGAAAAAGTGCTGCAACATAATATACTCTCAAGAGAAGATTTGAGCTACTTATTAATAACTTACATTAGGAAGATTAATATAATTCTATAAATCTTACTTAAATACACTTTATAGATATGAATTACCTATATGGGCGGAAAAACAAGCCAAGAAAACTCAAGGTATTAAAATTACAAAGAGGACAGATTGTCCTATTACAATATTTTTTGCATAGTATTTTTTCTTAATATCCTCACTAGATAGTCTGGAGGAGAAAGCAATAAACTTCAGGGGTAATAATGAATAAGTAGACTGTGTAAATATCAAGAAAAACAAAAATACATTGTTTAATTTATGAAGACTTATGAAAACAAAGAGAGAATAACATAAGTTAAACTTCAGAAACTTGCAAACAGATGTTTTGGGGCAGAAATAATTTGAAATGTAGGTAATCATATCAGTTTAACATTTTGCCTTTCAGTAAGAGAAATAATTGCAAGAAAAAAATATATTTTAACTCTAAACATAATATTATAACAGAAGAATGATTCAGTTTGGTGTGGCATAAATAGAACTGAAAGTGAATAAAGAAATTTACAGTTAAGAGAATGAATTATGAGAGAGAGTTTCAGACTAACTATCAGGAAAACCTTACTAACAGGGAGCTGTTAGACTGTAAAATAATATATTAAAATTGACAAAGGAAAAGCCATCAGAATGTTTTAAAAACAGGTTTTGAAAAGCTCTCAGAAATGGGTGATAGCATAAAAACAGAGTCTGCATTGGTAGGAGAGGAAAGTAGGTTAATTGTGAGGTCATATCCTGCTCTGATTTCTGATTTGATATAGACAGGAGAAAAAGAAAGGGAAAGGAGCATGACTGTGTTGTATTATTCTCACCTTTAATGATTTCTGAACTCTTCAGAGTGTAATTTCCAGTAGTGAGCCCACTGACAGTCTGAGATGCTGTATCTTTTTCTGTATTTAACATTTCTTGGACTAGAAACATAATTTCTTAAACAACATTGTTTATCAATAATATCTTAACCTAACCAAACTGCAGAATTCATCTGAGTTTTTTGTTAAGGTTTATTGTTTTGCTGAAGATTTACCAACGATAAATATTCATCTGTCAGCCTTGATACCACTGAAAAAATATACAAATGGTAGAAGGAAGACTGGGAACTTTGCTCAAAAATATTAAGGCATTCCTAGATGAGCATGAAAGGCCTGTATTTAGTAGCAGTCTACCCTAATTTGCACAAGTTAGAAAGTTCACTTATTTTAAAATTTAGTATTTTATACTTTGCATCGTTCTCTAACCTTCTGGGGTAACACAAAAACAATTATTTGCACTTTCATGCGGTTGATTTGGTGCTTTCAAATACATCTTTTTATTTTTCAAACACTAGCAAGACTTGTTCTGCTGGGAGGTCAGGTACCCTAGCTGGTTGTACATTTCCATGTTCAGAAACTGTCCTTTACAATAAAATGATTACACACTTCCTGAAATTATGCTTACCTGCTTACAAGACCAAGTTTAACAGGCATTTCAGTGTGTGTGTGGTACAACTCATTAATTTTGGTTGCTGCCCTGTTTTGAAGTTTTAGCTCAAAGCAGTAGATTACCTTCTCTTCCAGAATGCAGCAGTGAACAGACTTCACATTCCCTGGCTGTCTCATTATACTGCTGACAGGGAAGAGAACCCGGTTAGGTACAGCAAGGTATACTGGGTCCTGGCTGTGCCATACTTCCATGCTCTGGAAGTTCAAGCTGGTGTATCAGACAGCCTTAGCACAGAGATTTCTGTATTTGGAAATTTTGAGATTGCACTTTCATTCACTTGCAGTCAGCACTGCTTGTCCCTCTGATAATTATTCAGCTGCTATTAATATCAGCTGGAATGGAACCAGCAATACAGAGATAAAAGGTTTGTGCCTTATCTTTCCTCAGTCTTCTTTCTTTGCCTTGTCTCTAGCCTAGACCCCAAGATAATGTTTTACAGAATAACATTGTTTCACTCTCCTGGTAGTACTGTGAATAGTCTAACCAAACTATAATAATTATCTAATCATATCTAATTTTGTACTTTGTAAAGTCAGGTACAAGAATGGTTTGAAAATAAATGGAATTGATTACATTAATAGTTCCGTGACGTGCTTCCTGATAATAAACCTTTCTCTAAATAAAGAGAAAAAATTGCTACGATTGAACATGAAGATTGGATATTCCGAAGGGTTGACAGATTGAGTATTCAGTTTAATTTTAAAATTAGAGGAGTTAACAATGATTAATGTCCTAGATTAATTGGTACTCTGATGTTAATTTCTTTGACCCTTACATCTAATTCAAGTTAAAGTACAAAATATTGGAAAATGATACTGCATTTTCCACAGTGGCCAGTGTTTGCAGGGACAAATAAGGCAGGTTAGGCTCTCAGCTTGAGAAAGGACAGGGCTTGAGGAAAGTCTTCATATACCTGTATTTTAGGACATTATCTTCCATTTAAAAGAATTTGTAGTAGGCAGCTTCTTTTACATTTCACTGAAAAGATGAATCATTTGGAAATGTCCCACATAATATTATTACCACTTTATTTTATTTTATGTACTGAGGGAGAATTATATTGCACCAAATGAATTTCTTATGGAACTGCATGCAATAAGTACAGCCATTATATATGTAAATATATATATATATTATATATATTTATATGATACAATTATATAGATATGATACAGTTGTATAGAAATAATACACAGAAAGACAATGACAAGGCATAAGGATAAAAAGCTTTATTGAAGAACAAAAATTAAATGTTGGCATAAACTCACCAGCTTCTGCATCATAACACTGATGGCAGTATTATAATGGTAAAGCAAACCCTTCCTAAGCACGTATCCAAGAGACAATGGAAGCACGTGCAGAAGTGAACATAAATATTTCATGGTGGCCTTAGCTGAGCACCAGAACCCTCTGAGGACACTGGGCACACGACTCTGCCTCGCGCTGCTGCTGCGCTCTGCGGCCATCGGTCATGGAGACGCTGCCCGCTGCCGCTCGAGAGGCGCTCGGGCTGCAGGCTGCCACTGCCTCGGCACTTCAGTGGGAAAGCCCTCCTCGCGAGGCAAAGAAATGCAGAACAAAGGAGAAGGGTGCAAACTAAGTTGCAGGGAACCAGACATGAGTACAGATCTGAAGGTAGCGTTGGAAAGGTTATGTTACGGTAACATCAACAGCAGATGTGCTGTTCCACTAGTACTATTCTTACTTGCTTTGCTGTGAGCACTGCTGTGGGGCATCCACCTGTTTTAGTTTCTCACCCGTGCCATTATGGTACCAGGCAGTATTCTTTTGCGTAATCAGATTGGTCTCTGGAGGGAGAATTTAAAGGATTTTACTTGTATAGTAAAGGAACATAAATCATATTCATTGTATCTGAAAAAAAAAAAATCCTACCTCTTACCAGAATAAGAAATCTTTATGATCTACAAAAAACTATGTCAAAGGTCAGTATTGCTAAGGAGAACTTTTCAGATCATGCAGGATGCCTGAGTTTATTTTGGATTCTCACACCAAAAGAAAATGAGATAAATACATGACATGGTCCAAACCCATTGCATTTCCTCTGTAGCTTTTAATCCAATGTCATCAATCAATTGGACAGCAATTACAATGAAAGCAACTTTGAGGTATTTGCATGTAGTAGAGGAACCACCAAAATCTGGCCTTGCTATTAAAAGACAAGTATCTGGCAGTGAGTATGTAGAAAAGGGTAAGACTAAGCAAATACAAAGTCTTTCTGAATAAAGCAGTCATTCTCATTTGAATGTCTAGGACCAAATTAATCATGAACTTAGTATCTGGAACTGCTGTTGATTTCCATACTAATTTTCTGTTTGAATTAAACAAAGCATTATATATAAAACAGATTTTAATGGACTGTAAATGATGAGGCCTTTCTAAGAAATGTTGGTGTCCCACAAATTACAAGATACATTGTACTGGATTT